TAAAAAATACAAATGGCATTTTTTTCTTTTATCTGACAATTCTTATTAAACCTAAAACAAACAAACCTTAAATATAAGGAACATGGTTAAAATTCCATATTGCAAGGCTAGACCCCCAGTTACTCTGCCCAAGGGCTACAGCTGTCCCAGCACATCTCTTCTGACTCATGGGATGTCCTGGGATGCAACAGCCCAGAAGGACAAAGAACATAGACTGGACAGCATCACTGAAGAGGGTGGTCGGCTCCAGTCATCCCCATGCTCCTGCAGTGTCATCCTCTGAAGCTTTCTGGGACTCATCTCTTCCCTACCCTGCAGTGCCTATTCAGGTCTCATTAGTTCTCACCTAGAGCATCAAATTAGCACTTTGTTGAGTCACTTGAATTATTCAAAAAGTATGTGTTGATCCATCTGGTTAAACATTAGGACATAGCAGTAAATAAAATGGATATGATCTCCATCCTTCTATAGACTGCAATGGTTGGAGGAGCAAACACTATAGAAACCATCACATGAACTGACACAATATGGGAAAAAGACTGCAATGGTAAGAGTCTTCTGATTTAAAGACTTTTCTAAGACACACAGACAGCTGAGAGTCAGGAGGACAGAAAACATATTCTAAGCAGAGGGAAAGGCACCTTCAAAACCACAGAAGTCAGCAAACTTTTTCTCTCTAGGTCCAGACAAACATATTTTTTGTTTTGCAAGCCACATAGTCTCTGTCTCAGGTGTTTAGGTGTGACAAAAAAAACTGCCACATGGGGCTGGAGAGATGGCTCAGCAGTTAAGAGCACTAGCTGCTCTTGCAGAGGACCTGGGTTCAATTCCCAGCACCCACACGGCATCTAACAACTGTCTCTAACTCCAGTTCCAGGGGAATTTGAAACTCTCTTCTGGCCTCTGCTGGTATTACATGACATAGGTGCATACATGCAGGCAATACACTCATACCCATAAAATAAAAATAATGAATAAGCCGGGCGTGGTGGCATACACCTTTAATCCCAGCACTCAGGAGGCAGAGGCAGGCGGATCTCTGTGAGTTCAAGGCCAGCCTGGTCTACATAGTGAGTTCCAGGACAGCTGGGGCTACAGGGATACCCTGTCTCAAAAAGACCAAAAAATAAAAATAAAAAAATAAAAAATAAGTAATAATAATAAATAAGATAAACTATTAAACAAAAGCTGCCAGACACATAGAAATGAGTGACTATGCCTGTGTTTCAATAAGACTTTAGTCATAGCCATTAAAATATTAACTTCATGTAATTTTCACTTGTCACAAAATATTCTTCTTTTTGATTCTTCCTCAACATTTGAACATGTGAAACAATTTCTTATCTCCCAAGTCATCTAGTAACATATACACTGGGGGAGGGGCTCACATTTTGCCATCACCTGCACAAGATTCTGAGGTGGCAAAGAAGTAGGTATGTTTGGGAAACCCTGCCTGGATCTATGTGGATGGATTAAAGTGAACAAGGATTAAAACACACATCCTAGGTGAGAGGGGAGATAAAAATGACATTACAAATAATCTTCCTGTCCAGGCTACATATCGTGATATTTATCCTAGGAGCAATGCAAAGCCACCAAGAGCTTCCGTGGAAGCAAGAAAACACTAGCTCTTCTGCACACATTTCCTCACCCTTGTTCCAATCTTAACATCCCTGCCAAAGTTGCCTAAGACATCCCCTCCCCAGCCAGTCTTCACCACCATGTTAAGCCCGTAACAAGCCCAGGCTTGTTGTCTTCTCCAACATCACTCAGTCTCCCCTGGGACTTATGTGCCATACCATAACTGCATCATAGGATGTGTCTAGAAAATCCTTCCTGTCATCCTTATTTGACAAAATTTCACTCATACCCTGAGGCTCATGCCAAACTATCTGCTTCATAGAAGCAAATTATTTTCTCTTAGAGCACTTTGTGTATTTCTACAGCACTGTGCTTGGAGTTTCTTCCTCTAAAGGCTCTGGTTCCATCCACCCAGCCCTCTCCCACAGTACCCCATGGACCCTGTGCTTGTCTAGGCTAAGGCTGTGTTGTTAATGTTCCCCCCTGTCTCTGGCCTCTATCACAGTTGCTAGTTCGTAGCAAGAGCTCAGTCAGGATGTGGACAATAAGGAATAGCACAAGAGTAGACAAATGAGCCAGTTAAGTGGTCCTTGGCAGGTGGTCTTGCCACCAATCCTGCTTACCCAAGTTCCATCTTCGGGATCCACGTAGTGGAAGGAGAGCACCAACTTCTGCAGGCTGTCCTCTGACTTCTACATACCCCCATCTCTCTCATTCACACACATACATACACACAGAAAGTAAAGTAAAATAAAGTATAATAACTTTTTTTAAAGACCACAGAATCTCACATTATTTGAATGAGTTCTTGAACGCTCTCCCGAGGCCATCCAACTTCCCTGCATCTCCCATCAACAAATCAAGAGGAAAGTACCCTTTCCTGATTCTCCACAAACGTATGCTTTTCTTCATGAGGGATAAGCCTAAAATTGGCAGTGGCTTTATAAATCCTAGGCCAGCAACATCAGCATCACCTGGAAATCTGTTAGAAATGAAAGGTCTTAGATTCTCAGTCCCTGCCGCAAGGCTACTGAATATGTAGTTTAACAAGATCTCCAGGTGATTCATTTACACATTCAAGTTTCAGAAGCAATATAAGCCATCCCAGATGAACTTTAAAAAGATGCTGAAGTTGGTTTTAGAACTACCTTTAATTCTGAATTTTGAAATCATACTAATACCAAAAGAATTTTCAGCTGAAGTTCTTATGCATTCTGACAAAAAAATGAAGAAAAAGAACCTAACGAAACACCCTGTAGATCTGAGGCCCACTTTCAGATACTGGAATAAGTAAAAAGCCAATGTTTACATCCTTACTTGGAGAATTTTGAAAGGAAATTGAGTTTTAGGAAATCGATTTTTAAAAATAAATATATAGCCAGGCTACTTGGAAGGCTAAGGCAGAATGATCACTTGAATCCAGGAGTTCTGGGAGGTAGTATGCTGGGCCAATAGGGTGCCCCCACTAAATTCAGCATCAATATGGTGACCTCTTGGGAGTGGGAGACCACAAGGTTGCCTAAGAAAGTGTGAACCGAAAGTAGAGGTCAAAAATAATACATAGATCATCTTAGGAAGTCACAAACACTGCCATCTCATCTAGAAATTAATTATTTTGTATGGTTTTATTTATTGAAGACTGATCTCAAGTGCAAGACGTTAGGCGTCCTGATAGACTGAATATGTAGATCTCTTGGGACAGCCATTAGTCTGATACAAACACAGGGCCATCCACCCAATGCTCTGTTAACTTAGTTTAACTCCTTGCCTTTCTATGTGCTCACAAAGGGAATTACATCCAACCTATTTTTTGTTTTGCATTTAAGTTCGGGTTACCTTGAAGAACACTCTCACCATTGTTCCTCAGCCTACCTCAAGCTTCGGACTTCATGGAACAGTGTTAGCACTACATAGGTAATGGAACAGGCAAGATTTGGAGCATGGTAACAGGTTTTCAATCCTGGTTCTAGAAAAAATCAGTATCCTCACTCAGCCTCAGTTCTCCATGCCAAGCCATTAGGACTAAGCCAATTGGTGCCTGTAAAACCTACAGGTGAGTGACAGTGCACAGCAGTTTTGTATTCTAATTTGTGTTGGAGCCTATGTCTGGGATGAGTCTTCAAAGTGATCCAATCCAACTCTGTCACCACATAGAAAGCAAAGGGAAGGCCTGGGATAAGATGTGCTTCGTCCAGAGCACACACTACAGACAGCAGAGTCAAGATCTAATTCTTGAAACCCTTGACTCCTAAGAGATTCCTTTCAAACTCAGCAACCACAGAAGGCTTGCTGTAGATTAAAAATGGTAAGACAGATAGCAAGCTAGGTGTGCCTTGATAAATGTGGCCCTTCTGTCTCCCTACCTCCTGCTCCATGGTCACAATACTGGGGCACCTTTGAAAGCTCCTTTAAGCTCCCCATTTCCATAAACAATCTGAATAACTGATGACTCAGCCCACCTGAAACCCCCAGAGCCAGTAAATGAATCACACTGGGTTTGCTCATGTGATGGATTCTCTATGTACCAGACCACCTAGGGGTTTTCAACTCCTCGAGGCTCCCAGAGGAGGTGAACTTCTTGCCCATCCATCTCTAATGGGAGCCATTAAGCTGACATCACAATTCTCCACACTTCATAAAAGAGTCTTAACATCTGGAAATGGGAACCACCTGCCAGAGCTTCAACCAGGATCACCATATCACTCAAGAGAAGGGAAAATGAGAAAGAGATATCCTGAATGTCAACAAGGCCAAAGATGAATGCTTTGGGGCTAAAAGTGTGTAGACAAAGGCGGCTTTGGTCACAGGGTCTAGACTTAAATCCCAGCCCTGCCACTGTCTAATTGGAATAGCTATTAACCTCTCTGAACTTTGGCAAAGTGCTGGATATTAGAATTGATTTTGGAGTCAGGCAGTCTGAAGTTCAAATCCTGGCTCTCTTGCATACTTATTGTGTCACTTGTGGTGAACTGGCTCTTCTCTATGAGTTTTCATTTTCTTGTCTAGAAAACAGAGATACTTCCCTTCACAAAGAGAAAAAAACAGGTTATACATGACAATGTATGCCTATAATCCTAGCACCCAGGAGGAAGACGCAGGGTCTGGAGTACACGGTGAAACTGGGCTATAAATGAAAGCACTGCACTGTCTCAAAATAAAGAAAAAAGAGAAAGAAACAGCCTACTTAATAGAATGGTTAGGATTTAAAGAGATAACATGTAAAATACTTATCACTGTGCCTGGCATTTCAGTTCATGAAAATAGAAGTGATTAACTGAAGCCTAATCAATAAGATGGGATCCACCCTCCTCAGAGTTTCTGGGGAATATGAAACACTGCAGACTTTGGAGGACATTCTTAGTCCACAGCAAAGGACCCTCTCCTTCCATTAGTGCCTTTCCCTTACACCACACACTTACCTCCTTCAGCCACAAGAGCTTTGGTGCCTGCATCTCCACTGACATCACGCCACCCACGTACTGAAGGACATCGTGCTGGGTCTCATTGATCCTCTGGACCTGGCTGATGGCTCGATGGTCCAGCCACATGATAATGTTGCGATGGGAATCCCCTAGAAGACATGACAGATATATGCAAAAAGATACCTTTTCTTTCTAGATCAAGAAGGGGATGATGCATTTCTCAGGCAAAGCACTACAGAATTTCTGCTATAATTTTATGTATTAAGAATGAACAGAGAGGGGCTGGAAAGATGGCTCGGTGGTAAGAGCACTAGTTGTTCTTATAGAGGACCCGGGTTTGAATCCCAGCACCCATGTAGCAGCTAACAGCTACCTGTAACTCCAGTTCCAGGGGATCTGACACCTTCCTCTGACTTCCATGGGCACTGCATGACACGGGTGCACTTGCATGTATGCAAGCAATACACTCATACACATAAAAACAAAACATAAAAAGAAAGAATGAACAGAGTAGGAGCTTGCAAGATGACTCATCAGGTGAAGATACTTGCCACCAAGTCTGTAACCTAAGTTCAATCCCTGGAACCCACATGGTGGAAGGGGGAGGATTAACTTCTGTAAATTGTTCTTTGACTCACACATGCACACGTGTGTACACACGTGCACACACAATAAATAAATACAAATTTTAATTAGAAAAGAATGAACTGAAAGGACATCTCTGATGCGGTGAGGACCCTGCACTCAAAGTCTTTCATTCCTGTCCTATCAGTGTCATCCTCACCCACAACCTCTGGGTTTAAACTAAACTAAAACCAGTTGAACTCTACCAGTCAATTGCATGCCCATTCTTTTTCTCTCTCAACTCCTTCCCTTCCTTTCCCATCACTCCTGTTGTAAAACATGTCTGACTTACACTGAAGAAAGTGCCTATGAAACAAGACTGTGACAATACTTCATCCTAGTAGTTGACACCTCTAAATGTGGACAAATACTTTGACAGAATACACTCTTCACAGCTACACGAGGGTATTCCTCTGCTTCTATTTTTACTTTTCTAGTCAGTTGAATTAAAATGAGCATGTCTGGGAGTATTTTTCTCATTCAGTTGGTTGGTGAGTTTTGAAATCTGACCATCCTAAAGGGGAGTGCAGACTCAAGCAGCAGGGAGATACAGTCCACTCCTTAAGCTCTGGCTTCAGGGTCCTCATCTGTCCAATAGGGATCTGAATGTCTTGCCAAGCACATACAGGGACTAAGATCTTCTGGGTGTTAACTACAAGACAACACCGAGAAGGACATACCCAGACCCTGTCCCTGTCTGCCTGGAGTAAATTATAAGGAGCAGAACTGAAAATCAGCTGGAAAAGGATCATTATCCCTCATGGCCCAACTCTCCCCCGCTGCACCCCAGAGTCACTTGCTGCCCCTTCCTGTCTTCCTGGCCTCTCTGAATTCATCATCGAATGCACCGACCCTGCAAGTCTTACTTTCAACACCTCTGATGCCCCTCCCCCACCATGTACAATGTATGTAAGAACCTAGGAGATTATCAGAGCAAAGCCATGGTTGTGCCAGGTACTTTCACATATTAATTTAATAGTGAAACAACTGTAGAACTACACACCTTGCTAATGACAGATATTTCGTGTCTGAGGGTCACCTAAGCCCTTGTGCTATTCACTTCCAAGGCAGAATCTCCCCAAGTCCTCAAAACAACCCTCCCTCTGGGTTTAAACTAAACTAAAACCAGTTTAGTTAGTAACCAATAAAATGGTTATTATCCCCATTTTTTAATGGCTAGCCTCCAGTTAGAAGGTGCTTCCCCCGGCAAATGGGGACTCTTGGCGTGTGCCTTGAAATGAGTCCTGTGTGGAGAATAAGGAACTGGCAAGATGAGCAAATGACTTAAGTATGTCAACACACATGCGTCAGCTGAGACATTTACAACCCAGTACGTATTGCTATGCAGCCTGTATGTGAGTACGTACGCAGTAAAAGCACAGACATTGTGTTTATGAGCAGCAAGTAGAAAGGCTGCTACCCGGGAGGGCTAACCTTGCAAGGACATTCTTTTTATTTTGTTTCCTTAAAAAACATTGTATTTGCCTTTGAATAAAGCAAAATTTGCTATTTATCCTAAGTAGTGGGTATAATAAAAGGCTGTTATTTTATTTTTTACTCTTCTATAGCTTGAAAATAATTTTAACTAGAAGAATAAAAAATCAAACCTAAGAAAATATCTAAACAAATTATAAAGCAAAGGTTACTCATTGTTTTCTCTGACTGAAAAGATTCAAGGTCTCAAATAGCCTTGAAAAAGTAGAAAATGAAACAAAGGCAACAGACCCTCCACAAGAGAATTAAAAAGCTTTTTTCATAAGAATCAAAGTGGTTCTTGTATGTAACAGGACTGACTCTCCAGGCTCTGCTCAGACCTAAGTATATATATTACCTGAATGGCTTTAAAACACACGGACATCCAGGTCCTACCCAGAGCTACCAATGATTCCAAATGAGCAGAGGTGCACCTGCATGCTGGGTGGGTATCGAAGCAGGGGGGCAATATCACTGGTTTTTAAATGTATGGTACCTAGAACTGCATTAAGACATAAACACCTAATGCTAAACTTCCAACAGTGGCAAGAAAAGCCAATCAGCTATTACTACTGTCCTACCTAATACATAGGAGCAAAACACTGAAAACAATATACTTAAAAGAGAATATTTAGTCTAACTACTTTTTTCATTTTAGACAAAAACTTGGAAATGAATTTTTTTCAATTTTCATAGAAAAATCACACCTAAATGATCCAATCAGAAGTTTAATCTTTTGGTATTTATACACACCAGGCAGAGGGAAGGTGTCAGGTACTCTAGCCCTGCTGACCTGGAGCATGTGTTTGAGAGCACAGATTCTGTGGGTACTGATTGCTGGCACAGACTGCCGGGCATGGGAGCACAGAAGAGCAGCTTAAAGGGGGCACCCATGAGCTGAGTCTGGGGCTACACACATAGCTTCAGGAGACAGAAAAGTTCTGTTTATTGTTGAAAGTTGGTGGTCACTGTTTAGCCACATTAAGTCAAAGTGAGGAAAGAGGTTCTAGACAGCAGAACAGCACAGAAAGCAGAGCACAGACCCAAGAAGACGACACATTTTAAGGGAATTTCAGGCAATTCAGTAAGGCAGAATTGCAGTTACACAGTCACCTTACCAAGGGCACAGTATCCCTCAGTTGCCTTCCCTCACAAGAGCTCCATTAGTGTGAGAGTCTGAGCTAGCCACAAAGCTTAGTGGCTGCAGGGGAAGAATAGCAAGTGACCAGCTGACATTCAAAACAAAAAGGATAAAAAGGGGGTGGGCACTGAGGCTACTTTACCACATAGTAATGCTAGTGTACGTGTGTGTGTGTGTGTGTGTGTGTGTGTGTATGAGTGTACTGCCTGCATATGTGTAAATGCACCCATGTCATGCAGTACCCATGGTGGTCAGAAGAGGGTGTCAGACTCCCCTGGAACTGGAGTTAAGGATGCTTGTTAGTTACTATGTAGGTGCTGGGAATCAAACCTGGGTCTGCTGCAATAGCAGCCAATACTCTTGACTGCTGAGCCATCTCTCCAGCCCACTGGTGGTACCTTTTATCTTTTCCTTTTTAAAGTTTTTTATTTCATGTATATGAGTGTTTTGCCTGTCTGTATGTATGTCTACCACCTGTGTGCAGTGCCCGTTGAGGTCAGGATATGGCATTGGATCCCCTGGAACTGGAGTTACAGATGATACTTAGCTGTCATGTTGGTGCTAAGAACCAAATCTCTGTCCTCTGCAAGAGTAGCCAGTGCTCTAAACCACTGAGCCCCTCACCAGTCACTATCTTTTCATTTTTTTGGTTAATAACTAAAGACAGCAGCATTTTTGCCAGTCTTGTGGGGTTGCTTTAGATGGTTATCTGGGCTATCTCCTAACTTGGCACAATCACTCCAGTAACCAAGACTTGGTCTCTGACTTGCAGGTAGTGGCAATCTTTCAAAAAAATTTTAAACCACCTTCAAAATTCTAATTTCATTTTCAAGCACAAGATAATTCACCTCAGGTAAAATCTATCCTTAATATAATTTATTGGAAGTTAAGGTTTCGAGGGGCTACTCTCTGTGTATATGGTTGATAAATGAGCATATTTTAATATTTCAGGTGAAATACAGTAATTTCAACACTTCTAATTACAGTTACAACTGAGCTCCCACTTTAATGGTGCACCTGTTAACAGGCAGAAATTCTGTTCGCAATGAGAAAAAGGATGGTGACAGGGAGAAGCAGGTCTAACAGGGAGCTGTGCTCTTACACTGAAAATGTCGCTTCTAATATTTTAACTGTAGATTCATTTGTGCCCAGTCAGTCTCCACAGCCATAAACACTAAAGAAGTTTTAACACTGTCAAAGCCTGTGATGGTTAGTGTTAATCATCAACTTAACAAAATCTAGACTCACCTGGGAGATGGGCCTCTGCGCATGCCAGTGAGGGATTTTCTTACCTGGGTTAATTGAGTTGGGAAGACTCACTGTGAATGTGGGTGGGATTCATGGGCTAGGCCCTGGACTACACAAAAAGGACACAAAGAGCTGAGCAGCCTGCATGCATTCACTGCTGACTACAGATGTGCTGTGACCAGATGCTTCAAGCTCCTGTGGCCATGGCCTCCCTGCCAGGATGGACTAACGTGGAACTGTGAGCTGAAACAAACCCTTCCTCCTTAAGTTGCTTCTGTCAGAGTATTTCATCAAAGCAACAAATACAGAACAAAGCTAAAAAGTCCCATCTCAGCCAACTGTATACACAGTATTTTTATTTTAGTAGATCAGACATTATGGGCTCCTTGAAATTTAGAACTCTAAAATGAGATTTCCTCCTAGGACAGACTGGGGAGAAAAAGACAATAAGGGTCCTACCTTCAAAGTTTACTGGTAAAGGACGGAATTGCTTATCCAAGACAACCAGAGAACACGTGGCATCAAACCCAAGTCCTCGAATTTGATTTAAATCAATCCCTTGTACAACTTTCTGTTTTAAAAGCAAATAAACAAAACCATAAATTACAACACAGGCTTTCAACATATTGAAGACAAATTATGACTAGAAGGGAATAAATAAAAAAAATTAAACTTATCTAAAGCATGTCATATAAAAGCTTAGCATGAGTATTTAATTGAATTCCCTATCCTGTAACACTGTGTCCAAACATCAGTGTGTGGCTTCCAGCTGCAGAACCTCATGGCCGTGATATTACACGAAATGTTTTGCAGGGAAAATGACTACTGAATGTATTCAAACTTTCTGTAATTTCCTGAGATTTTAATTGAAGATTTAGAAATAACTTTGCCAGTTTTGTATGCATGTTTGATGACATAAATCGCTTTACAGTTGGGTTGTGGATGTTGCTCAGTGAGAAAATGCCTGACCAGCATGAACAATGTCCTGAGTTCAAGTCCTATCACCACCACAGAAAAAAAGGAGCTTATATTTTTATGATAAAATTGAAATGCTTAGAAACTTAAGATATGATGTAAATCATTCTTTACAGAATTGCCCAGCAGCTTTGATGAGCAGTGACAATTTCTGAGTAGTGTTGTTGGGTGTCCTCTTACACCTCTCCTAAAGACGACTTCTGGGAATCATCCAGCAATCTGGGTGGCTATTATATAGCCTTTCTGCCCTCGAGCACCTGTTTAGCCATTTCTCCTCTGGTGGGAATATTTTCTAAAGATCAGATGATAACTCAGAGCACTGACCCGTGTGCCCCTGGGAAACATGTTTTCTCAGTTTGGAAAACCTGAAACACAAGCTATGCTATTCCTTGGGGATTAGCCCTTGCCTCCAGAGGCCTGGGGAAGTGGTGGGGACTGTGAGCAGTGCTGTCTCTTTAAAAGTGCCCTTTATGTGATTCCCCCTCCTGGGCCTACCTGAGGGGCTGGCTATAGCCTGGGAGAGATTATTGTGTGCTGGTGAATTAGAATGAAATGGTAGATTTTGTGTAGATGCATTTATAAGCTGTAATTTTTGTATATTTTTTGTATATTAAACCTACTGTAATTGTAAAGTTTCAATTTCTATTGTAAAACATTAAACCACTGTGCTGGATAGCTTTAGTGTCAACTTGACACACCTGGGTTGAGGAAGCCTCAACTGGGGAATTGCCTCCATTGGACTGGCGTGTGGCCATGTCTGTGGGGCATTTTCTTGATTGTTGAGTGATGTGGGAGGGCCCAGCCCACTGTGGGTAGTGCCACCCCTGGGCAGGTGGGCCTGTGTTGGATAAGAGAGCAAGCTGAGCAGAGGCCTGGGGAGCAACCCAGTAAGCAGCATTCCTCCATGGCCTGTGTTCCAGTTCCTGCCTCCAGGTTCATGCCCTGAGTTTCTACCTTGGGCACCTGGATGAACTGTGACCCAGGATATGTAAGCTAAATAAACCCTTTCCTCCCCAAGCTGGTAGTGCTAAGAGTATTTTGTCACAGCAATGAAGAACAAACTAAGACAATCATTTTCCAAGTGTTTTCAAAAAATTGAAACATTTAGTCTATGATGTCATAAAAATGTCTAAGGTTTTGAGGGGAAACCATGGTGGAAGGATTAGACAGTGAGAGTGAGAGAGAGAGAGAAGTTTTAAGAACCAGAGGGAACTATATTCGGGGAGGAGAGGAGAGGAGAGGAGAGGAGAGGAGAGGAGAGGAATAATGCCTATCTAGTTTGTAAAACCCAGAGGGAACCATATTAGTCCAACAACCTACCGACAAATTATACATACATTATCACTACATGAGTTCATGTGTATAGGTAAAGGCTATACAACAAGAAACAGTGCCAGACAGGAGCTACCATCCTTTGAGTTGTTGGCCAGCGTGGTCCAAGAGACTACCAAAATTACTCAGGCTATTGTCACAGCCCTTGATGGCCTCCCAGAACTTGAAGGTAAGACCCTACTGCCGAAGATAGAACATACTTCAGACACAAGATTTGGAGCAATAGAGCTGCAACTGACTTTCAACCACTTCCCCTGAAGGCGAGCTCTCATAGGTTTGGACAGCACTATGAAGGTGCCAAGGGAAAACATCGATGGATGATCCAACACCAGCTTCAAGGCCAAATAACCACATCGATGGCCAGCACAGCATAAGTCATTGGTACAGTAGTGGCACTCTTATCTTGGAGGCAATCAACAGCTACCTAATTTGACTAAACACCCACTCAAAGGGAGGAAACTCAAATGTGGTAATGTAAATATAACCTAATACACATGGCTGGAGTGGCCATAGATCCTGGAGAGAACCCCAAGACTGTCACATCATTAGACTAATGTGATTTCTTACTATATGCAAAATATGTATCCTTATATTTACAGAAAACTATCCCAGTCACCACTCATCAAAGAAGTTCATTTTGCACCAGTCAGAGGCTATTATCAAGCACCACAACTGGTCACACATGGACATTGTCTATGAATTGCCCAGGCCTAAGTGACATATCTACAATGCAACCTCTACACCTAAGGATCATGGAACATAGAACAGGGATAAAGAAGAGGTCACTAATAAATCTCTCAGTTATCAATAATGAAGCTCCCTCATACAGTGGCGGGCAGGAGCACAAAAGGTCACAAATGGCCAAAATGTAGAGATCAAGTCTGCTGAATGATGGTCCTTGGGTAGGACCCTTTTATTAAACTCCACCCATCCAAGATTCAGGGACCATCGTGGAAGAGGAGGCAGAAAGATTGTAAGAGCCAGGGAGAAGACATATGACCATATAGAAACAGAGTTCTACAAGCTCCTGGAAAACTGATCATAGGATTCTATGGCAATGGTGTCAGCATACACAAGTCCCGTGCAAACTCAGGCAGACAACAACCCAGCATAGAACTTGGAAAATGAAGAGCAGACCCCAATCTTATCTGAAGGAAAGTTGGCAACTAATTGCTGCTAGATGAAGAAGAGCTGATCTTCCTAAAACAAGGAACTCTAGATAGGCTGACTAGACTCAGTGGAAAAACTTGCACTGGGGAATGGCTGGGGACACTGACAACCCAGTGGGCCTTAACAGAGATAACAGAGTATATGGGCTCCAGTGGCAGGGGGAGGGGCTATGGGAGGGTGGCATTTGGGAAGTGGGTATATAGATGTATAAGATTGTGTGGGAAACAGAGTATATGGGCTCCAGTGGGGAGTGGGGGGGGGCTATGGGAGGGTGCCAGTGGGGATGGGGGTATAAAGATG